CACGGTGGGCACCACCACTGCCCGAGCAGTGGGCAGGGCTGAGCCAGGGCTGAGGGCCTGGTACCTGGCCAGGGCACTGGGACCGTGCTGTTCCTCTCTGCAGGGCAAGGTGGAGGCAGAGTTGCATCTACTGACAGCTGAGGAGGCCGAGAAGAATCCGGTGGGCCTTGCCCGCAATGAACCTGACCCCCTAGAGAAGCCCAAGTGAGTGCCCTGCTGCGCCATGAGCCCCAGCCACACTGCTCCTTGGGGGCACTGGAACAGGAAGGAGGGGCCAGAACCTTCTGGTCTTCTTGCCCCCACTCTTCTGCTCTCTTATTCCTTCCTGGGAACTACTTGGCCCAGGGTGAACCCCTCCTGGCCGGGCGCCCTGGCCGTTCCCTGAGCCTTCGCCCTCTGAGTCCTTTCCCCACTCTCCCTCCACTCCTCTTGCTGTCCAGCCGGCCTGACACGAGCTTCATCTGGTTCTTGAACCCGCTCAAGTCTGCCCGCTACTTCTTGTGGCACACGTACCGCTGGCTGCTGCTCAAGCTGCTGCTGCTCGTGCTGCTGCTGCTCCTCCTGGTCCTTTTCCTCTACTCTGTGCCTGGCTACCTGGTCAAGAAGATCCTTGGGGCCTGAGCCCCACGTCCTCCTGGGTCTGGTACTCCTCCCTCTTTCTTCTGGACCCGGGGCTCATGAGCTGGACAGCACATGGAACACACAGCACACATGCACAGCACACACAATTGCACACACGTGCCCACGCGTGCACACACATGAACTTGCAAGCTTTCGAACAGTTTCATAGGCTCTCAGACCTGGAAATGTCTCTTTTACATGATTACACATTAGGCCCGAGAGGTGAAGTAACTTGCCCAGGGTCCCCTAGGGTAGAGCTAGGACTGGGCCTGTTTCCAAGTTGCCAACCGAGCATTCTTCAAACCACACCGCCTCCTCCCCCAGCAACATTCCTGACAGACCAGCGCTATTCCAGGGGCAGAAAGAAGCTGAGACATGGACAGGGGAAGGGGGAAGGGTTTGGCTAGGCTCAGCCAGCACGTCCTGAATAGTTCCTGCAGCATCCACCTGCCAACCCACAGCCGTTTTCCACCCTGCAGGATAGTAAGTAGATCCATCCAATTCCAACATCTTAGTAGCCAACATCTGCTGAGCACCAGCTCCGTGCCAGGCACTGTGCTGAGAGCTCCACCCGTCACTGCCTCGTTCCATCCTTTCACCAACCCTGGAGGTGGGGTCTACTGTTACCCCGCTGCCCAAGTGAGGAAACTGAGGCTCACAGAGGTGCTAACCTGCCTGTCCCGCTGGGATTGGAAACCAGGAGCCCTGCGCCCTCGCCCCACTCCGCAGCCCCACCTGTGCTGAGCACAGCTCTAAGGGTGCAGCCTGAGTCCTCCAGGAGTCCGCAGGGCAGGAGTTTGAAAAAGCATATTCAGTACTTTAACTTTATATCGTGACATTCTGTAAAACCTATCGTTTACAACACAAACCCAGAATGTAAGGCTCGACAAGCACTTGGCTAGGAGGCCATGAGAAGGCAGAGCAGCGATCACACCCCGACAGTGGGCAGGTCGGTTAGGGTGGCAGGAGCCCCACTGGGGCTCCTCAGACCTTAGACAGAAGGTTACGATCATGAGAAAGGGGGAGTTAGGGAAACACTGATCTCACTGAGAGAGAACACGGCAGCGCTGGACCCTGTACAATGAGCTGCTGAGTGGAGGAGCCTCCTGATAATTAGAGCTGCCTGTGGGCCTGCGGCCGCCCCTTCAGATGGCGAGCCTCCTTGGCTGCCAGTGTTGAGGTGGAGGCTCATGGCTGCCCCACCAGACATGCGGGCTAGACCTGCGGAGGAGGTGGGGACGCCAGAGGGCCCTGCGAATAGGAGTGTCGGCAGCAAACCTGGTGCTTAGAAATGGGCTCAAACCCTACGTCCAGCACTCACAGCTTTTGGGACTGGGGTGACAACGTCTCTTGGGGCCTAGAAGGGCTGAGGGGATAGGGTGCCCTGGGAGGTGCCCACTGCCTGACCTCCCCTCCCCTCCCCCAGCCGGCCCGATACTGCCTTCGTCTGGTTCCTCAACCCCCTCAAGTCCATCAAGTACCTCATCTGCACGCGGTACAAGTGGCTCATCATCAAGATCGTGCTGGCGCTGCTGGCGCTGCTCATGCTGGGCCTCTTCCTCTACAGCCTCCCCGGCTACATGGTCAAGAAGCTCCTGGGAGCATGAGTCCCCACAGCCTCCCCACAGCTCCTCCCCTGGGCCTGTGCATTTGTCCCTCCCCTGGCGTGCACTTTCCAGGCTTCCTGGGGAGCCTGAGGAGCCCCATGTCCACCCTTTAGGCCTCGGGTCCCAGGAGCTTGTCTCCTGCTTGCTGGGCTGGTCACACCCCACTGCAGTCCTCTCCTCCCCAAGCCTGCTGCTGGCCCGGTCCTGCCCCTCTGGTCCCTGCCTGTGGGGTGGGGGGTGGGG